GTAATAGGGCTTCAGCTCATTTTGGATGGAAGCTGGAAGGCAGTGGTAGATGAGCAGCTTTCTCCGGAGAATCTCCACTTCCACTTTGGCCCAGATGATGTTTGTCTGTGGGGATCAATGCACAGCCCCGGCCTCCGCCTCAGCAAAAGTGGTTGCAAAAAGTGATGCTGAACCGATGGTGGTGTCCCCCCGTGAATCTGTGAGGCCGGAGCCCTGCCCCGGCCTGCCTCTGCCCCCCTTGCCTTCTGGGAGCAAGCCCTGGGCCCAGGCACCCAGCCCTCTTTGCCCATCTAAGAAAGGCACGTGGGGGTTCATTGAGCCCCCTCTCCAAGGGCTGTGAGCAGAGCTTAAGCATCTCCTGGAAGTGTGGTAAATAAAACCCAGCATTTTAAACATTTCGTGCTGGTCGGATGAGAAGATGCCCAGCCCTTCGTCTGTCTGCTCCCCTGGTTAGTGCTTCTTAACAAGGAGGAACTTACCTCATGGATGAAAGCTTTAATCTTGCCATTGTCAACAGCCATTTTTTTGCTTTTTGCAATCTCACGAATTTTCTCCTGCATCTTCTGTTTAAACGCATCCAACTCATACCACAGATTGCCTCTGGTCCGCTTCCGAGTCCTGTTTAAATGATGGGGAAAGGACTGAGAATTTTGCAATGGGCTTTCCTCATCTGGTATTGGAGGACATGTCAAGCTAGTCTGGGCCCAGTTCAGTGCTGACGTTAGCATAGCATACGAAGCCCTCAACGGCTTGGGGCCAGGATATTGGCGGGAACGCCTATCCATATATGCCTGCTCAGTCACTCAGATCTTCGATGGAGGTCCTCCTCGAAAACCACCCCCCAACAAAGAGTGGGGGAATGGCTAGGAGGAGGGCCTTCACTGTACTGGTGCCCCACCTACGGAAGACGCTCTGCAAGCCTTTTTCATTTAACATCTGCTTTAAGAGCTGAACTGTTTTTTAACATTGTTTTCATTTTTATCGCTGCCTGCTTTGCTATGATCTACTTTGGCTTGAGTGCCAGACCTCGAATTCCTTTAATGGGTTTTATTCTTAATATGCTTGTTTTTATTGATGCTGCTGCTGCCGTTTTTATTGTAGGCCACCCAGAAACCCCTTCAGCCTGTGGGGTGGCATATAAATATAGTACGTAAGTAAAATGCAACATCATTTCAAGACCCACAATAACTTACAAAATAAATTAATATCGGAGACCACAGACAATTCAATAACTAAACTGTGAGTTCCACAGTACAATAAAACAACCTAAACTAAATACATAACAAGGGCAAACACCCCAGACCCAATCCTAGCAACTGGTGTTGGGCTGCAGTGGGCAGGAACCCCTGTGTGCGTGTGCTCTCTCCTTGTGAAAGCAGAATAAAGCCGCTGGAGCAGTGCACACATCACAGCACGGCAGAGAATTCCGAGAGTGGGTTTCCGCCTCCCAAGCCGCTCCCTTTTGTGAATACGCTTGCCTCCCGTGGCATCATGAGAGGCGCGAGAAGACCAGACGCATGTCCCTGCGCATCAACTGGGTTCCCGGGCATAAAAAAGCAATATGAGGATAATCTCTTACCTGAACATGCTTTCAAAATTCTGCTCAATTTTGTCATAGATGGGCCTGGCAAGTTCTTCATTAAAATCTATGCGTGCGAACACTCTGGAAGCATATGCACCATAATTCAAGCACAGCGCTTTGAGTGTCTTGTGGAAACCTTGGTCGCCATTATGTTTCTAGATAATTAGAAACAAAATTTTACTGAACCAGTTAGGAGAAGACCTCTGCTGAAACCAGAGAGGCAAATCTGACTATTCTGGTTTCTCTTGATTGATCATTTCTGAATAGCATATTCCCATATATAATGCATTTTGTGCACACCCTCACCTAGAATGCACGTTTGTGTGTGTGCAACCCT